GTGCGGAATTTGCAGAACCGCGGAACTTGCAGAAAAAGAAAATATGTCTACCGATTTCAAACCGTGGAATATGCAGAAGTGCGGAATTTGCAGAACCGCGGAACTTGCAGAAAAAGAAAATATGTCTACCGATTTCAAACCGTGGAATATGCAGAAGTGCGGAATTTGCAGAAATGCCGATGGACCGATCGATCCCTATCATTTCTTTGCCCGTCGTTTCTGCATGTCTGCAAATTCCGCGGAATTTGCCGTCGTGCGTTTCTCCCGATTCCGCACGACTGCAGGGAAGAACCAATCGATAAATATCACTTCTTTGTCCGTCATTTCTGCATGTCGGCAAATTCCGCGGAATTTGAAGAAATGCAGTTTTCAGATCGATACGTATATATTTCCTTTCTGCAAATTCCGCAGTTCTGCATATTCCGCATTTCTGCATCCATGTAATGAACGCGCCTCCCAACAACACTGCACCGTTTCTATTGATGTGTAGATCATAGTTGTCCAATAATGCTGAGCTAACTAGTTTATTGATTGAACTCACCACAAAGCCTGCATTCATGGCGCACCCCTCACCAAGTGGGGCGGAATCGATAACATGGTCGGGTTGATCGAAAGCTGCGTGAGTAACATGACCGTTGGCCACTTCGACCGTTTCACTTTCGCTTTTCTTGCTTTTTTTATTCTTCTTTCCATGAGCCTGTAATTGATTATAACCGGAAGCTGCTAACACGCAGTGTCGAGCACTGTAAATTAAAATAGAACCAGTAAAAAAGAAAAAATTGGAGAAAGTATTGAACTGGCCGAAGGAGCACGCCTAACGCCTAAGCACGGATGAGGGCGTCCACGGCTGTATTCCGACCACGGCTGTCCGATCGCTCAGTGTTTGATTACCACCCGATGAGTTTTCTTCCTCCGAGTGATTTGAAGGGAAAGGGAAGGACCAAACCGAACGTGATAGGAGAGCCCGTGACGCGTACGTGTTGTACCGCATTTGCAAAATTGCTCCATTTAGAACGAAAGCGCTGCGGCCAAGGTAAAGTCACTACTTGATCAAGTCATTACCAGTGCCTTTCTTTTTTTTGATACCCGGTTTCAGCAGAACAAGCTGTAGTTTTGCCGTTAGAAACTTTAGGTTGCACTGAGACCATTACAAATTGTTCTACATCTGCATTGTATTGCTCGTTTTAACGATGATCTTTCAGCCCTGGATCAGAGAAGAGAAGAAAGAAAAGGGAAAATGATCGTGGACGAAAAGACCAGGCCAGCCATGTAAGAAGGCAATGTGTAAGGTTACTACTTGATCAAGTCATTATCAGTCGTTGTACAATTTAGTGTATGCAATTAATGAGCAGCTGGCTATGGGTTTGGCGAGTGCAGATGTGGCAGGAATTCAAGGATGGAGACACAATGCAAAAACCTGCTTTTCAGCTTCTGACTCATCGGCCGGCTCGAGAGAGGTAATCTCTTTATATGTCACTTCACTATTAGCTAGAAAGGCCACGTTACTATCAAACCCCATGCGCTAGGCATTTAACGATGTGCATACCGTTTTTCTGTCTGCATGCACCGCTAAAAGGACAAGAGGCTTACTCAATGGGATACTAAAGTGAATGCCACTCACAAGGGAGGTCTTTCAGGTCGTGGCGCTTTTTTGGAAATGGTTTGTTGCTTGTTGTAGGGGTCCATACAAGGATCACAAAAATGGGTTTCATTTTTGCTATGCGTTTCTGGGGAGGTCAAAATTGAGTGAAAAGAATTTGACAAGAATGGGCGATTTTAACTATCTTAATGGGCTCCGTTCTGATTGTAACTTCGAGCATGCATAGTTTATGAGGTGCTCGTTAATTAGGCTTCGAAAATAGTTTTAAATAAAGTCAAAATGTAAGTATCATGTAGTAACACACTTGGCATGCACCGACGCAACAGTGATGTTTTTGTCAGCGGTCCCCTCATGCTCACTGTCGGCGGATCGGATGGCGCAGCGGATAACTCGATGGATTCTGGATGGGACGACGATACGGGACTTTGTGGATCGGATCCTCCTTGCGGCAAACTTTTGCATTTTTCAGCTTTCTATTCATTCGCGTTCCTGTGTGTCTAGCAGTGGAAATAAGCCAAGTATATGCCATTTGAAGGCATATTCTTCATTCTGATACCTTACAAACCAGCTCGATTGTGTGGAGAAGCCTGTTTCCGGGAATGTTCTCGTCTCGTTACGTTAACCTTTCCCTTCATTGATAGACAAATCTAACAACTGTGGTAAAGTTCAACAAAACATGTGAAGCATATGCATCTATTGCACCAACTACACCTAACAAACGCCAGGAAGAACAGTTACTGTCTTCTTGACAAGGGACGACAACATCTCCTTCGTTGAATCCGAAGTCGGTCGGAGTTGAAAACGGTCCAGGATGCTCTTCGACATACCCAGCGGCCACCCAGGCGTACGCAATACATGAACGAAATCTGGGGGCGCAAAATTGATCAGAATCAGAATGAAGAATATGCCTTCAAATGGCATATACTTGGCTTATTTCCACTGCTAGACACAAACGCGAATGAATAGAAAGCTGAGTGCAAAAAATCTGCCGCAAGGAGGATTCTATCCACAAAGTCCCGTGTCGTCGTCCATCCAGAATCCACCAAGTTATCCGCTGCGCCATCCGATCCGCCGACAGTGAGCATGAGGGGACCGCTGAAAGAAACACCATGTTTGTTGCGTCGGTGAATGCCAAGTGTGTTACTACAGATACTTACATTATATCACTTCATTCAAAACTGTTTTTTGAAGCGCTGAACTAAAGGGCTCCTCAATAAAACTATGGCATCCATCCGAAGCTTCTCGCGAAAGGAGCTCATTAATGATAGGTGAAAATCGAAACATTCTTTGTCTAAGTCTTTTCACTCACGGTTTTTTGACCTCCCCAAAAACCGCATAGCAAAAATGAAAACCTTTTTTTGTAACCCTTTTTTGCGGTATGGACCCCTATAACAAGCAACATGCCATTCCCAAAAAGCGCGCCACAACCTGAAAGACTTTCCTTGTCAGAGCATTTGGAAGACGTGAGCACTTTTGCACATTTCCCTGACGCATTTATTTATATGACCGTATGCGACAGCACGCTTGAAAAGAGCGTCCAGACTTCGCGATGACGTGCGAAGCGTTAGGCTGCGTTAATACTTTAATAGCGTCCGGCAACGTCAGCGACTAGGAAAGTGTAGGTATTGATCTAGCGTCTGCCAGTGTGCACCAACGCCTACCAGCTACCGGCAGAGGAGTGTATGGCGCGAGAGGAGGGGTAGCAGACAGTGTGGCTTTCGTTCCTATCGCAACCATACTCTGACAGCATTCTGCCACCCTACTGTTTCCCTTACTCTACCAGCTGTGTGCTGCCCTTCCGTCGTGCCATACTCTCTCGGTACGCTGGTAGACGTTGTGCCAGCGCTGGCAAAGCGTTGCAAGAGCGCTACATTGCAATCTATACTTTCCTAGCCCTTGAGTCCGCTGGTGACGCTAATAAGTCGCCTGCGCGTGGAGAATCGCCTGAGGGCGCAGCGGACGCTATAGAATCTACAATTTTCTTTAATAGGCTGACGCTGCCGGATTCTCGCAACGCTGTTGGACGCTACTGTTGTGGTGACGCGGCACAATAAATGAACGCAGCTTTATCATTGCAGCGGCGCTCCGGTGCTATACGCAGCCATAGACAGGTATCGATTGGCACCGGCCGGTAGCGTTTTGTGGTAGCTTGGGAGAAGGAGACGGTACATGTTTCCTAACCACACATTCTGTACCCAGCTTATCACCCCATATATATAAATTCGCTTTGTCTGTTTGTTTGTTTGTTTGTTTGTTTGTTTGTTTGTAAGTTTGTTTGTTTGTAAGTTTGTTTGTTTGTAAGTTTGTCTGTCCGGAAATTCGGTTCGACCTGAAGAACGACTTGGAGAGGTCCGGTCAAGGTGGGGATGGGTAGGGCGTGGGACAAGAAATAAAAAGCACACTTGACCTAAGGGAAGCTCCGCCCACAGTGGGCGGGGCACTCCCCGAAAGTTTGGGTTCCGCACAAAAATGTTCATAATTCGCTTCCGGGGCAGCCTAAAGATGGGGGAAAAAGGGAATAAGGTTAATAAGGAGTCGCCAGACTAACTGTGGCAGGTACACCCTAAATGGGCGGGGCGTACTCAAGGTGGGCGGTGCTTCTCGCAAAATTCAGTAACCCGGTTCGCGAGAGTGTTTGGAAGTCGCAAAAAGCTCAGTTTAGAATGTAAATATCTGGCGAATATAGGGCACGCTCAAAGCGTGTTGAGACCCGCCCACAGTGGGCGGGGCTTGCCCTAAATCGCAGGGTATTCATTTTAAATGTTTGTAGCTCAGTTCCAGAACACTCCAAATACCGGAAAAAGTGGATTAAGTTCAGCAGAGGGTCGTCGGTGAGGATTGGGGCAAAAACATTGTGGGCGGAGCCTGCTCCGAGGTGGGCGGAGTCAGACAAAAGATCTGCAAAACGGCCCCAGAGCACTTCAAAGACCGGAAAAACGTGGATTAAGGTCAGGAGAGGGTCGTCGGTGAGGATTGTGGGGCACAAACATTGTGGGCGGGGCCTGCTCCGAGGTATGAAGAGTCAGCACCAAAAGATGCTGGCAAAAACGGTCCCAAGAGCACTTCAAAGACCGGAAAAAAGTGGATCAAGGTCAGCAGAGGGTCGTCGGTGAGGATTGTGGGGCAAAAACATTGTGGGCGGAGCCTGCTCCGAGGTGGGCGGAGCCAGACGAAAATTCACTAAAACTGTCGGCCACGCCGCACTTCAAAGACTGAAAAAAAAAACGTGGATTAAGGTCAGGAGAGGGTCGTCGGTGAGGATTGTGGGGCACAAACATTGTGGGCGGGGCCTGCTCCGAGGTGGACGGAGTCAGACGAAGAATCTGTAAAATAGCTCAAGAGTACTTCAGACACCGGAAAAAATGGAGTACAGAACAAAAGGGGGATATCAGTTGAATCTAGAAATATGTGAAAGAAAGCACGCGCGGCGAAGCCGCGCCCGCCCGGCGCAGCCGGGCCGTATCAGAAGGAGCCACGCCGGCGTCAGCCGGCGAGGCGACTGGTCTCTATACTCTCCCAAAAAACTAGCCGCCCCGCCGGCCGATCAAATACTAGATCGTGGCTGCAGCTATTCCTCCCATTTTCCTATACTTTCAAAACACTAATGGCCGGGGTTGAGCAATACCATTCCATAGCATTGCAGCGCCGTCGATGATAGCGCGTTGACGCGCGTCACCGCGAAGCCTTAGTGCTATAAAACATAGTAGCGGCTTCTTGCCCTTTTTGCATATAAACATCTTTCAGGTGGCTTTCAAAAATGTAGATCGTTGAATACAGAATTGTTCACATAGATGAGAACAAAAAAAAAACAACATGCAATATTTGATTGTTAGTGAGAAAGCTACTCGCGATTTACTAGACGATTTTTCGTCCTGTACGCGGGTGACCTGCACACTAAAGGCAGGTACGTGCTAACGTATTTTATGAAGAGCTTCGGCGAAAGTACGATCTGTGTTCCCCCCTTTTTTTTCTGCTATGATAGGCCCTACTCCAACGCGTCGGAAAACCATCCTACCCTATAGGCTCGGCCCACGAAAAGGCATACTTTAGGCTGCGTTTACATCGAGGCAACCATTTGACTAGCGTTTAGCAGCAATCCACTTAGCGTCCAAAAGCGTTCGATACAGTGCCAGCGTGCTAGAAAATGTACGATCATCGATCTAGCCCCTACCCGAGTCAGGGCTAGGGAAGTATAGATAGTTGATGCTCTAGGTCTGTGCCGCCGCGTTTCCACTGGGCGGCCTATTCCGGGTGTATGTCGTTTTGGCGCGGTAATTTTGCCAGTGACGCGTCAAAACTTGCCAAACTGGCTTCCAGTTATCAGAGCGAGTCGTCTAGGATTCCACTGTAAGGCATTTCCAACAGTGATCATTAGGAACCTGGCCGAGATTCATAAACACCGAAGCCATCACACACAGCTTCATGTGGATTACGGATCTCAAAACCTTACAATTCAGTGATTTGGACGAGCTATCCAACTTGATGGGTACGTACCATTAGCTGTCAGAACACGTAAACGGCAACGTGATCGCGCCAAACGACCACCTCCCGCCTAATCCAGCTATTTCCTACCCTTCCTCTTCCTCATGCTCTCTCCTCCCGGTCGCTGGTGAACGCTGGCAGAGACTAGATCGATACCTATACTTTTCTAGTCGCTGACGCTGCCGGACGCTCGAACGCTAGTGGACGCTGGTAGACGCTGGTGGACGCTGCCGCAAAGTATGAACGCAGCCTTACGGGAATACCGCCTATAACTCTAGTGTCCGACTGGTCGTTGCTTGAAGAAGTGCTAGGCTATCATTAAAGAGAAAAGTTTGGATTACGTGGCTATAATAGGGACCACCATGAGAATGTGTACTACTCGGCCAAGCCAAACGCCACGCAAATCTTCTACTCGCCACGCGAAGCGGTGTTAAACGGCGAGTATGGAGACGACATCCGGGTGGTACCACTCTTCAGCCCGCTTCAGTAAGTGTACAATCCCTCCTACAGAGTAACAACAGTAAATTCCAAAAGAAATATTTGAGCACTAACCTCACTATGCTTTCCATGGGCTTTGTCGTCATCAACATCATTGGATAACACAGATTCGTGTTCACCATTGTGGAAACCAGAATCGCTTTCGCTAGTTTTCTTCGCCTTTCCACCCTTCTTTTTCGATTGCTGGAGATATAATATTGGGTTGGCACATAAGTACTTTCGTTTTTTTTCAACCGGAAATTTCGTTCCAAAGATGAAATGTTTTGCTAGCAAGCTTGATATCATCTGATAGGAAACTTCACGTAGTTTTAGAATATCAAAACGGCTTCGGTTGAGGGAATAATTTTTGTGGATTTTTTAGTCGTTGAAGTT